ACCATCACCCTGCCTAACCACACTTGCATTCCAGTCAGTCTATGTGGAGATGTGAATCTAGGGCCTGATTTATTGCTCCATGATGTCTTGTTTGTGCCACAATTTAAGTTCAATTTGCTGTCAGTCGGTGCATTAACTACTGGATCTCATATCAATGTGCAATTTTTTCATGATCAGTTCATAATCCGGGAGGTTTCCACCACGAGGATGATTGGCAAAGGTAGCATCTTGCAAGGTCTTTATGTACTGGACACGAAAATCTTTACTTCTATTTCAATTGCTTTTGTTAATTCAATTTCTACCAGAGTATGGCACAATCGTCTTGGCCATCTTTCATTCAAGAAATTAAATATACTAAAGGATCAATTGCTGTATGATTCTGATTTTTCGAATAAACATTTACCTTGTTACATATGTCCTTTGGCAAAACAGAGGAGGTTACCTTTTGCTTCACAAAACCATGTTTCAAGCAAGGCTTTTGAACTTGTGCATTGTGATATATGGGGTCCATATCACGTGCCTTCGCATTCTGGCTATAGATATTTCTTAACATTAGTGGAATATCATTCTAGATTCACCTGGATATATATGTTAAGACAGAAATCATATGCTGTAAGGATTGTTTAGCAGTTTTTCGGTATGGTTGCTACTCAATTTAATGCTTCAATTAAGGCTTTCAGAGCTGACAATGCAAATGAATTGTCTTTCAAGGAATACTTTGCTGAAAAAGGGGTTATCCATCAGTTCAGTTGCGTTGAAAGGCCTAACAGAACTCCGTTGTTGAACGCAAACACCAACATATTCTCAATGTGGCCCGTGCTCTATTTTTTCAATCTCGAATTCCAATTCATTTTTGGTCTGAATGAGTGCTCACTGCGGTACATCTCATTAACAGAACACCTGCTCCCATTCTAGATCACAAGACTCCTTTTGAATTGCTGTATGGCAAAAAAGCTGATTATTCATATTTCAGAGTTTTCGACTGTCTCATTTTTGCTTTCACTCTTAGTGCGCATAGAACTAAATTCCAACCTAGGGCCAGAACCTGTGTTTTATTGGGCTATCCTCCAGGAGTTAAGGGATTTAAACTCCTTGATGTTATTTCTAAACAAATTTTTGTTTCTAGGGATGTTATTTTTCACGAAGACATCTTTCCTTTTCATTCCACTACTGATAATCATCAATTATCTGATCCCTTCCCTGATCTTGTTTTGCCATTATCCTCATTATCTGTGCCACAGGATATGCCCAACACTCCATCAGCTTCACCTACCACCACTCATGATGATCTTGGTGTTCCACCATTCATTCCTGATCTTGTTCATCTTGCTCCTATCATTGTTGACAATCCTCAATCCATTGTTCCTTCTACCTCTAATGTTCGAAAGTCTCAGAGAGTCTCTAAGCCTTCAACTCGCCTTAGAGACTTCCACTGTAATTTGCTTTCCTCATCTCCCAGCTCTACTTCTATTCCACCTAATCATATTGGGCATTTTATATCTTATGACACTCTTTCCAAACCTCATCGACATCTTATCATGAACATTACTTCTCAATTTGAACCTCATCACTTCAATCATGCAGTCAAATTTCCTCAATGGCGAGACGCCATGAAGAATGAATTGGAGGCTTTAGAACAAAATCACACCTGGTCTATTGTCACTTTACCTACTGGGAAACATCCAGTGGGGTGCAAATGGATTTACAAGAATAAATATAATTCTGATGGTACCTTGGAAAGACACAAGGCTCGTTTAGTTGTAAAGGGCTTCACCCAACAAGAAGTTTTGGAATTTTTGACACTTTTTCACCGGTGGCTAAGGCAGTTACAGTTAAGATTTTGTTCACTCTTGCTGCTTCCCAGAATTGGCATTTGATTCAACTGGATGTGAACAACGCTTTTCTCAATGGTGACCTGTTAGAGGAGGTTTATATGGATTTACCTCTGGGCTATGAAATTCTTCAGCCACTTACTCAGGGGGCGAATTTGGTCTGCAAGTTACACAAATCGCTATACGGTCTCAAGCAAGCTTCACGGCAGTGGAACTCCAAGTTCTCTGGTGCTCTCATTCAAAATGGATTTATCCAATCCAAAGCGAATTACTCTCTCTTCACCAAAGGTTCAGGAACTGATTTCATAGGTTTATAAGTCTATGTTGATGACATAGTCATCAACGAGCCGAATATAAAGGTTCTTAATGAATTGAAAGTTTTCTTAAACTCTCAGTTCAAACTAAAGGATCTGGGGTGTTTAAAGTACTTCTTGGGGATTGAAATTGCTCTAGCGGCTTCAGGGTTAGTCATTTCCCAACGCAATTACGCTTTACAGTTAGTTGAAGATGCAGGCTACTTGGACTGTAAGCCTGCCAATAGTCCCATGGATTCAAGACTTAAACTTAGTTTACATGAAGGGGATTTATTGGCCGACGCATTACAATACAGGAAATTGATTGGAAGTTTGATATATTTGACACTCACCAGGCCAGACATTACATTTGCTGTACACAAATTAAGTCAATATATGTCACAGCCTCGCCTACTTCACCTTAAAGTTGTTCATCACTTACTTCGCTACCTAAAAGGAAGTCCTGGCCAAGGCATTTGTTTTTCTTCAGCTCCTGTCATGTCTGTCAAGCTTCGAGCATTCTCAGATGCTGATTGGGGTTCATACCTGGATACTCGTAAATCCACTACTGGATTCTGTATTTTTGTTGGCGATTCCATGGTTTCCTGGAAGTCTAAGTGCCAATCTACCATATCTCGTTCGTCTACCTAGGTAGAATATAGGGCTCTTGCAGCTACAACCAGTGAAATTGTATGGATCAAGCAGCTGTTGGCAGATTTTCAGGTTGAGGACAACTTTCCTACCGTAATATATTGTGACAATCTTGCTGCTCTTCAGATTGCCAATAATCCAATATTTCACGAACGAACGAAACATATAGAAATCGATTGTCACTTCATTCGTGACGAGATTACAGCTCTGGCAGTCAAGGTGCTTCCTATCCGATCTCAGCATCAACTTGCAGATGTTTTCACTAAGCCTTTACCTGCATCTACCCTTGCTCCTTTACTGTCCAAGATGTGTGTGAAAGACATTTATCGCACATCTTGAGGGGGCGTATTAT